CTCCATGTCCCACTTTGTGGTCCCCATGTTCACTCTGGGGTCTCTCTGTTCACTTGAGGGTCTCATTTTGGGGTTTCCATGACCCATTTTGGGGTCCCCAGGTCCACTTTGGAGTCCCCATGTCCCATTTGGGATCTCCATGACCCAGTTTGTGTTCACCTGAACCCACTTTAGGGTCCCCATGACCCACTTTGGGGTCCCTGTGTCCCCTTTTGGGGTCTCCATGACCTACCTTGGGGTTCCCATGTCCACTTTGGGGTCCCTATGTCCCATTTTGGGGTCCCTATGTTCACTTTAGGGTCCCCACGTCCCACCTTGGAGTCCCCATGACCCACTTTGGGGTCCCCATGTCCCATTTTGGGGTCCCAGTGGCCCATTTGGGGTCCCCATGGCCCATTGTGGGGTCCCATGTTCACTTTGGGGTATTTATGTCCCATTTTCGGGTCCCCATATCCTACTTTGGGGTCCCCCTGTCCCATTTTGGGGTTCCCACGTCCACTTTGGGGTCTCTATTTGCATTTTGGAATCCCTATGTCCACTTTGGGGTCCCCATGTCCCATTTTGGGGTCTCCATGTCCACTTTTGGGTCCCCATGTCCATTTTGGGGTCTCTATGTCACATTTTAGGGTCCCATTTTGGGGTCTCCATGTCCCACTTTGGGGTCTTTGTGTCCCACTTTGGGGTTCCCATGTCCAACTTTGGGGTCTCCATGACCCATTTTGCAGTGCCTGTGACCCACTTTGGGGTCACCTCAACCCACTTTGGGGTCTCTATGTCAACATTGGGGACTTTGTGTCCCATTTTGGAGTCCATTGTGGGGCCCCCATGTCCTCTTTAGGGTCCCTATGTCCCATTTTGGGGTCCCCATGTCCATTTTGGGGTCCCCCTGTCCCATTTTTGGGTCCCCATATCCTACTTTGGGGTCCCCAGTACCACTTTGGGGTCTCCATGTCCCATTTTGGGATCCCCATATTCACTTTGGGGTTCCCATGTCCCACTTTGGGGTCTCCATGTCCCACTTTGGGGTCCCCATGTCCACTTTGGGGTCCCCATGTCCCGTTTTGGGGTCTCCATGACCCAGTTTGTGTCCACCTGAACCCACTTTGGGGTTCCCATGCCCATTTTAGGGCCCCTATGTCACACTTTGGGGTCCCAGTGTCCCGTTTTGGGGTCCCCATCTCCCATTTTTGGGATCCCCATGTCCCACCTTGGGGTCCCCATGTCCACTTTGGGGTCCCCATGTCCCACTTTGGGGTCCCCATGTTCACTATGGGGTCTCTCTGCTCACTTTAGGGTCCTCATGTCCCACTTTGGGGTTTCCATGGCCCATTTTGGGGTCCCCATGTCCCACTTTGGGGTCTCCATCCCCCACTTTGGGATCCTCATGTCCACTTTGGGGTCCCCATGTCCCACTTTGGGGTCTCCATGACCCATTTTGTGTCCACCTGAACCCACTTTGGGGTCCCCATGTCCATTTTGGGTTCTCTATGTCACATTTTGGGGTCCCTGTGTCCCCTTTTGGGGTCCCCATCTCCCATTTTCGGGTCCCCATGTCCCACTTTGGGGTCCCCATGTTCACTTTGGGATCTCTATATTCACTTTGGGGTCTCCAGACCCCACAGTTCCCCCCCCAACCCCATTAATTTCCCCCATCCCCCCCCCAAT